GCAGGCGTCGCAGCACAGCCCGTGCGCGCAGACGGCGTCTGGCTTCAGCGTGCAGGTGGTGGCGTTGCAGCAGGAATTCAGACACTCCTGGAGGGTGGATGGGAGGGTGCGACAGGGTCATGTGGGGCAACTACTCACCGAAAGCAGAGGTTGTACCTGAAGTCACTGAAAAGGGAAGAAAGACCCAGACAGCCTGGTTCTTAAGCTGGAAAGCAGCCTGACTGAGGAGGACCTGTAAGAAAGCCAAGCTCCTGGAACGTGTGTATGAGCTGACCCGGAGTGTGAGTCCCTGCGAAGAGTCAGCAACTCTGGACTGCCTTTCAATATGGGGTAAGGGGCCTGGACGGGAAGGCTGGCAGCGGGGGTCTCTGACGTCTGTACCAGGATCGCTGGAGTCCTCTGAACCTGCTTAAGTATAAAGAGATGAGTACACACTTTACTTTCCAAAGACTGATCCAGGCATTCAGTGAGAGCCTGCTGTCAGGAAATGAAGTCGAATCAATCGTGTTTGAACCACAGTTCCCTGAAATCCCACCGAAAGCCGTAGATGGACTCTCGCTCAGCACAGGCGGCCTGGCTCACCTGGCGAGGCTCCCTTCAGGCCGGAAATGCATCGTAGGATGAGCAGGAGGCCGGAAGAAGGTCAGTGGGCTGTCCCATTGATTTGAAAGGGACTTAAACTGATAGATCAAATATCAGGTGGACTGTCCCCTCTGAATTAAAGTCAGAGTGGAAGTAAACGTCTTTGTTATGCTCTGCTTCGCAAATATCCAATTTTTTCTAACAAAAAGCAGGAGGTTGACACCTTTCACTTGGCTCTCAACAAAGTCTACACAAACCTATCCAGTGTATTTTTGACATCCTTGTGCTTTAGAACATTCCAATAACTTGGAAGAAACTGAATTATCTTTAGAAAGAAGAGTTCAGTAGAGTCTTCAGTATTGACTTTATCAACGTCCTCTTAGTTAATATATGTGTGCTGAAGCCAATACATCATTGGCTAGAGTGACGCCAATCACGTACTATTTTAATACTGTAATAATTTACTCCTGAAAACCATCTCCTGTGAAGGAATTTATCTTTAGTATCACAAATGCTATTAATAAAATTTTGTCGATAATCCAGAAGATTTATGGCTAACCTGTACGCTGTGCAACACTCAATGAATTATGCTCTCATTTAGTGTTTACTCTTTGCCCCTATTATACATATATCCAAAGTTATTATATTTTTAATTTGTTCAAGGACTTCGTAAACATCCGGAGTGCATAGTGCACACAATAAGATAAAACTGCCAACCAGAAGGCATAGCTGTAACTTTCATGACAGTAAGGGTTTCTAGCTCATGGACTTATAAACCTAAAACATTTAGGGCTGTTTTGTTGTTTTTAACAGAGTCCATCGATTCCATTCCTGATCCGGGCCATCATGTGCACAGCAATGCTGTCCTGCACACTATGGTCTAACTGGCTCTACTAATAACACATTAACCAAATTACAGGTTTCCTTGAGATTCCAAGTTAGCTCAGCCATCCTACCACTGGGTCCTAAGAGCCTTTAAGAACTCCCTCCCACGCCACCCCCCACCATATCACTAAATAATATAAGCAGCAGTTTAAATGGAAACGCAGCCAAGTAGAATGGTTTTGACTTCAAAGGCGATTGATAATGTGAGAAAGATAACTAAGTTTAAAAGATATTTGCAAGCTACTGGCATCCTATTGACTTTAAACAAGTAGATAAGGCTGCTTTCCCAACCCTATTAGCTTGGAAGAGTTGTCAGGGTATCCTTATGGTTGATGTAAATCCAATGCCCTGTACGGAACGCTTCAGCAATCACTTGCCTTTTAACTACCCAGAATCTATTTCTTCTACAAGGCTATATTTATCAGAAGAGGCAAATTCTTCATCTGTTGCTGCGTTTACTATTTTAGTGCTCAACAGAGAAGTCCAACGGAGCCAGTGAGCACGAAGTCTCCAAAGAAGAAAGAGTAATGGAGCCATTAGAGAGTCGTCAGCAAATGCCCTAATTGTCATTCTTGTGCTGTCGGGAGGAGACATAGATTCTTAATCACAATGAACCGGGATGAGACTGGAAAGCATCTTCTTGAAAATAGTGGGGATTATTTCTGGGAGCGCAGGAGCAGAAGGTGGTTCCAGCTGTGAGCCGGGGAACTGTTCTGACTCCATTTACTCATGGGTGTGGGGACACATGAAGTCCTTTATGGGCCAGGGGACCCATGTGGCCAGGGACCAATATGGAGCAGAGGCGTGATGAGTATTTCCAGGGCCTGAGCACTTGGTACGGGGGTAAAGAATCCAGGTGCACAGGTCTGATTAACAGTTTGGGGTCAGTTTGAAAACTGGAAGTGGGCTTTCAGAATATCAGACACAGTTTGAGCTGAAACCTTGAAAAGCAAAAAAAAAAAAAAAAAAAAAAAGAAAAACTAAACATCAAAGCACAAGGCCTGCCTGTGACTTTGAAAGGTTTCTTGGAAGAAAGAACTTGGGATGAGGAGAATGAGGGTTCTCTTCAAATACCAAGAACTTACCCCACTGAGTAAGGACCCTAAGTACAGAAGTACACAGTTGGGAATTACACGCAGGGAGAATATGGCCCTACAGAAGCAAGCAGTTGGATTTAATCAAAGCTGTCCTGCAGTGCAATGCACTGCCTGCAGAGAGTAACCCCCTGCCCCCACCCCACCCCCGTCACAGCCAAATGAGTCCTTGATGGAGGTGAGAGACGATCACAACACCGAGGTGGCAAATCTCAGGGACTCAAGCATTTGCTGACATGATGGTGGCGGTGG